CCAGGTGGCTGCGTTGGGCGGCAGAAGAGCTTGCTAGATCATGTAGCTAGGCAGCAGGCAGGAGTGTGGCCCCCTGCTGGCTGAGCTGACTAAGTACAATTTACTCCCATGTCAGAATCTACATGTGTGTTGTTGCTCAGTAAATAACTTCACAGTAGGATAGTACTTGTATTTACAAGTACTATCCTGCTGCAGAGTTTATTCGTTTTCTGTGGCCTACTAGGGCAGCATATCTAGACACTGATGTTTTACTGCAGAGCTAAGTAGACTTAATAAATGTCTCCTGTAGATGTGCCCCCTATGAAGTAAATTATTCTGTAGTAATGGTGTGCTGTGACTGCACTGACACTTATTTTATCAATAGCATGAATGTAACCTTGTTTCAGCCTTTATCCACTATCCAAGTCTAAAAGGAACAGAAGAAAACCTAATGTAAATTACTCCCAAAATGTCAATAAAAGCATAGAGGAAGGCAAAGATAAGGACATTGATGTATTTTCTAATAACAGAACTACCTTTAAAATAAGCTAGCTCAGGTATCAGAAAAGGTACAGCCATGGCAGCCTGAAGCTTAATATCAACTTTTTTACTATGTTTACCTGAATACAAGATGGCCCTCAATTTAAGATGACTCTCCCCAAAATTCTATACACAGAACATTTATAAATTGATTATAATTTTCCATGTATAGAATCCAATTATTGGAGGATCATCTTATATTCATACCCCTCTACTACTGCAGGCAGTGGGAGGATAAGTGATGAGGGAGCAGTAATAGGGCAGAGGGTGGGGGGACAGACAGTGGGGGAGGCAGTAATGGGGCATGCAGTGTGGAGCAGGCAGCTTGCTCCCTGCCACCTGCCTTCGTTCCCCAAGTTTCCCCCCTTCGCATGTCCCTCACAGCCTCAGGCCCCCTCTCCCTGCTCCACACCACTTCTGCCCCCAGCAACCTCATCAAATCCCCACCTTCCCTTCCTTCAGTCTTCCTCTGCACTCCCCTGCCAAAGTTTCTAACCCTGCCTGCCCCTCTACCTTGCCCTATTACTGCCTTACTCTTACCTTTGCTCCATGTTGACAGGTTCCAGCTCTGCTGCAGCCTGGGGGCACTGAGAACAGCTCATAGCAGAGGTGCAGAGTTGACATTACTGATACAGAGCTAGGATGGAGCACATGCTTCATGCTGAAGCGAGGATGAATCCTGCTGGCGTGAAGCAAAGGTAAGTGGAAGTGCAGCAGTGGGGATCAGGGGGCAGCAGGGTTTGAGGCTGCAAGGCTGGAGAAGTGGGGATGCACAGGATGCAGAGGCAGTGGGGCAGGCTGGCCCCTGGGGGCTGCAGATGCAGCCTGCCCCACACTGCCTCATACTCGATTGTAAGATGAGGGCCTCTCCCCATCATGTTAAATGGGGGGAATGGGAGTGTCGGCCTTTACCCAAGTAAATACGGTACTCTGATTCTCAATAAGTGAATTAGCCCACGCAGTTTTCCACGATAATACAACTAAACTGCTTCCCAAGCTTGAGGTAGCTTATTTAGTTAGCTTGGTTATCTCCACTTTACACAGCAGTCTGCAAAATAGATAATTTTTCTAAAAGACTTTTTGTTGCTATCACTAGTGACCCTGATCATTCCATCCAATTTCTGGATCCATTCCATCCAATATATGGAGTAACAGTGCTTTTATGACATAAAGGAGCAAACCGTCTTGGAATGAAAGATGAAGAATGCAATCTTGGTCACCAGCAGTCATCATCTGGTACCCTATTTTTCCTTGTAGAAAAATGATAGCTATTCAGATAAAAACTAATACTTCACAGCAAACAAATTATTTTAACACACCCCTGTTCCTATTCTGGTTGCTGATGGAGTCCGTAACAAAGATGACGAAGGCCTGGCTGTCAGTCCCGGTCCTCTTGAAGAAGGACGAGCTGTAGGAGGCTTGTGATTATTTGCCATTTCTTATGTACTTTAAGCTTCCTCCTAGAAAGTAGTATATTTATTAGTTCATGTCCTAATGTCCACAGATCATTTAAGTTACAGAGTGCATGCATATACACAATAAGTAATTTTAGTGTTTTCCAAAAGTTCCTGAACCCGAAAGACATAAGTTCTATATTCTTTAAGTGGTGGAAGAGCACACACCAACTGCTGCAGCTTCCTGAGCCTGATGAAGGGTTTTTGAACCCGAAACCTTGCTTAATAACTATTCTCCAAACATTTGGGTTGGTCTAATAAAAGATATCAAATTCACCCAAGGAACCTTGTCTGCCTGTAAAGGGGAAGCAAATTTTCAGACTGCCCCACTAACATGATCTGGAAGGCCCATTTCTCGGGTGAAAAAGCAGTTCTGCTCCACTGCTTATTAAAAAATGACAACTAATGCCAACACTTGTAGAACCTGTAATCTGAACAACTGTTCACTGGAATCTAGCCTGAAGTCACCACACAGTAAGCGGTACGTTTTTAGGTGACTTATGAAACAAGTAGACTGGTTTTGGTAAGTGATTTCCCTATCTGTTGGGCATTCACAATGCCTACTGGAGTGAATGAAGCTGTAGGGACTCTGAATCTCTGAAAACCATGCTTGATATTTTTTACTGACCTGTGGCAGTAGCATTCAGTTTCCCTTAGCCAAACCATTGAAATGTGTTTTCCCTAAGGATAATTTTAAAAAGCAAAATGATGGTTTACAGGGCAGAGGTCAGGTTGCTAGTCAGAGTACAGGGAATGGGGGCACTGCAGACATGACTCTGATCACCCAGACTGCACTGCACACACCCCAAAAGCCAAGTAAGGAGCATGTTACTGGGGAGAAAAAAGGCAGATTATCTAGATCAGGCTCTCAACCTTTTTAGGTTCAAGACACCCTGGTGTCTTGAGGTACCCCATAGAAAACACTAGTTCTTAGTTTTCACTTTTTTTAGTACAAAAAATAATACAGCCAGTTCTTTGTTGCACTGGCAGACGTGTCAGGGGCAGGGGCAGGGTGGCAAGTGGCAAGCGGGGACTGCCCACAGATGCCAGTGGTGGTGTTGGTGGTGGGGGTGGTGGTGAGCAGGGAATGTCCACAGACGCCGGTGGTGCCGTCAGTGGCGAGGGAGGATGGGTGGTGAGTGGTCACTGCCTCCAAAAGCCAGCAGCAGCTTCGGCCAATCTCATGGGTGGCATGTGCCCCCCCGGACCCGATCTTACGTGTCACATATGCCAAACAATGCTAACACTGCAGCACCCTGCCTGAGAATCATTAATCTAGAGCAGGGCTTCCCAATCTTTTCCTCAGCGTGACCCCACTTAAACGCTGGAAATTTAAATTTTTTGCAACCCCAAAGCAATGTAGACAAGATCAACATCCCCTCCCCCCACAGGCAGCATGGCAGGAGTGGAGCCCGGGGCGAGGGAAGGATGTGGGCTGCCCACTGTGGGCTCAGGGCTCCCTGCCCTGCTACTTTCTCCCTGGAGGCCTCCAGAGCCCAGCAGGCGGACCGGTTCAGGAGAACAGCGGGGTGGAGAGGCTCAGTGCTGCTGTGGGGAACCCTGATGCTGGCTGCACTCTCATTGTGAGGTACTCCCTGCCTGCCTGAAAGCAGTGGTAGTGGCGGCATGGAGTTGTGCCCCCTGCAAACAAATTTGGAGGGCACGTGCCCCCCTGTGCCACCCTCCACAGGAGTGCGGCAGTGGCAGGGGGGCACCCCCCCCTCCCCCCCCCCCCCCCCCCCCCCCGCTCCCTGGACGAGCTCCCCGTGGCTCAATCCTGCTCCCCAAACCGGGCCCTACATCCCCCCTGCCCTGGGCCACCAGCCCAGCTGAGCAGCACCTCCAGCCCCAGCCCTGCCCCAGTCCTTCCCTCCCTTACCATGGAGGCCTCAATCTGCACCCCAGCATGGACTTGGAGGGAGCTGCGGGCACTGCTTTCCATGCTGCCTGGCTGCCACGTGCACATGTGCAGGTGCACATGCACATAATCACCCTGCCTGATCATCCTCTTCCTGCTCTTCCCAGCCCCAAGCAGCCGCTGGAGCCCTGCCCGCCTGCAAGGGGAACCCCGCCATTCCCCGCGCTCTTCCTGCCATTTTCATCCTAACTGTCCAACACTGTGGAGCATCTTTGCAAACCCATTTTTTTATCGGCACGTATCAAATGGCATCGTGACCCCACGGTTGGGAACCGCCCATCTACAAGGACGCGCAAACGAAACAAAAACTCAGACGAGATGATCTGTTTGGTTCGCGCATCCCTCCAGATCAGCAGGTCCCAACCTTGGAGTCAAAAGAGATGATCCGGGTGCAAATACCCCAGAGCAGCGACACTCAAACCAGGGTGCTACAGGGCCCGGGGCTCCTCTGAAAGGGTACTGTGGGGCACCGCAGGAGGGGAGCAAATGTGATTCTCAAGATAAACCCTGACACAAGGCGCAGGAAACCACAGGGTGACAACATGCTGCCTGGCTGCGGTCCCAGCTGTTGGCAACACACGGAGGGCTTCGTTTATCTTTGGTCCCCCCGCAAAGATCCCAGTCCCCGGTGCTGCGGCCCCCGATTGAGGACCAGGTCTAGAAGCAACGGGGGGAGGATCTGAGGCGGCACTGCGCTGGGACCCAGGGGAAGCGGCACGAGAAGCGGCTGGAGGCATTGAGGGTGAGTGACGGTGACGGGGGGATGGGAACGGGATCGGATACGCGGCGCAGCCTGGCCCCGCCCAGGAGGGGGAGCAGCAGTAGACCCCGCGAGCGCAGCCTCACCCGCTGGGCCCCACGCCCGAGCAGCAGTTGAATGCACGAAGCGGTCTCCCGGCAACCATCTGCCCCGCCCCACCCTACCCGCAGCCAATCACCGCCCGCGCTTGGCGGCTCTCGCGACATGTAGAAATCCCGCGTGCCGTCCTTTCGGCCGAACGTGAGGAGCGGGGAGTCTCGCGGAAGGCTCGTGGCGCGGGGGCTGCTGGGAGATGTAGTCTCTGCTTCTACTGTGTAGTGGCGGGGGATTGGGGTGGCGGTTACGTCCTTTCCGGCGCGAGCTGATGGCGGCTTCCGGCGCTGCGCGCGGATGGGGCACGAGCTGGACGTGCGGGGCCTGAGCTGCGGCCTCTTCCCGCCCGACGGCTTCGTGTCGGTGTCGCGGGATCGCACAGCCCGGCTCTGGGCGCCCGGCGGGTGAGAGCAGAGCGGGGTGGGGCCGAGCCGGGCTGGGTGTGGGGCGGCGGGGCCCAGGAGCCGCTCGGTCGTCTTGTGTGCGTCTCTCCTCCCGGTGTGTGGGCAGGGGCCGCACCTGCTTGGCGGGACTAGTGCCGGGTACCGGGGGAGGTGGTCATTACCGCTGGAGTTGTCTGCATGCACTTATCGTCGTGTCTTTGTGTGTGCGTGCGTGCGTGCATCATATGTATATGATACACACCAGTTTTTTCTGCTCTGGAAAAGCAGCAAAGCCATCTGTATTGAGGAAGTGTCCAGAGAGTCGGATGACTTGCTGGCTCATGTGTGCCTGTGTCAAGGGATTCTGCTGGCCTGTGGATGCTGTACAGTGAAACTGCCCAGACATGAGCGGAGGAGTTCTAAGAAAACAGCCCCACACTTGCCAGAGTCCTCCTGGCCCCAGCCTCCTTCCTGTTTGTATGGATGGCCAGCTGAGCTGGGGGTGTTGTCCAGGAGGTCCCAGGACTTGGTGGGGCTGTGGATGGGAAGTGCATAACCAAAAAGGTGCAGGCAGGCAGTGCCCAGGAAGTCCACTGACAGGCTCCCTCTGCTCCTTCAGGGGCCAGTGGGCACTGACTGGTGTCCTCTGTTCGGTGTCCACTTTCGATACCCTAATTCAGGGGGTATTTTGAAAGGTCCCAGGGGGCTTGCAGGGGTGGGTGGGGATGAAGCATCGCCATCCCACACTGCTGCCTCATGGGGCCGGGGCAGAATGAGAGCAGGGCCATGCTGCTCACCACTCCACCCCCCACCCCCTGCTCTGTGTTCTGCCCTTTGCCACCCCCTTCCCCCTGCTTGGCATCCAGCTACACGTACCCCCTGCCCCTCCTGGCTCAGCGGCCAGGGTACCCTGCTCTGCTCTGTGTCTGGATGCCTGCGGGTACAATGGTTGAAAAAGGTTGAAAGTCCCTGTCCTGATTCTTAGTCTATGGCCTCACTCCCATTCCTGTTTTCTTTTTTGTTGTCCCAAGCAATTGCTATGTCTGCAGTAGCCTCACTTCCAAAGTGGGGCTTATGATGGGCCGAGACCTATGACATCAGGACATATCAAATAGGCCTGGGCGCTGCCTGAATAGAACTGGCCTTGCTGCTTTTCCAGAGCAGAAAATCAGTTTCCCTACTAGGATATGCACCCATCCTCAGCCCTCCCAAAGTTTTGCTGGGCTGATTTTAGGGCAGAATGGTGCCTGTGGTAAAAGATTAAGTATAGTGATTTCTGACCAATACATTTCAGTAACAAACCACTTTCTATATTTCAGTGGTGGTTTTCAGCCTGTGTAAGCACTTGCCAGTGGTTTTCAAAGTAGACTTGGGACTCGCACGCTGCATGATGCAAAAAGAAATTCTACTCTGAGCTGTTTAGAATTTGGAAACTTGGCTTTTTTTCATCAGTACTTTTTTCTTCTTTTTTTTTTTTCTTCTCCTTGAGTCACTTAGTGTCTTCTGTATAAGCCACCTCGAACAACTTTAACCCAAAGTAAAATTATGAAAACATGAGTTTGAAATATAAATATATTTTGTCATTTAGATTTTTCAAATGAGTAATTTTTTGTTATGGCTGTAAATGTAAACTTATTAGTTTATGTCTGTTTAGTATTAACAGGGGTTTTACTGAAGTGCACTGTATGAGTGGCCATTCCAATTTTGTATCCTGTGTGTGCATCATACCTCCAAGTGACCTCTATCCTCGTGGACTAATTGCGACAGGTGGCAATGACCATAATATTTGCATCTTCACAGTGGACAGCCCAACTCCACTCTATGTTCTAAAGGGGCACAAAAACACAGGTAATTATCATTCCTGTTTGGGGGTTTTGTTGTCTGGAGTTTCGAATTGGGAGTTGATGCAGATGAGGTTGTAAATATGTCTTTAACTTGTATCGATAAGTTTAGTAATTTTGATTTGTTTAGCTTGGTTTCTCTGTGAATTGTGTAAGTGTTTGGTACATATTAGGACTCTTCTAGGCACTTTAAAGCCAAAACAAAATGACAGTCCTTGCTGCGGGGAACTTTCCTTCTAAACAGCACTTTTTCACTGCAGCTGTCAACAGCAATACTTCTAGTGATGAATGATATTCCTGTAGTGCAGTGAAGGTGGCATTACCGGAGGAAGTTGTCTTTAATATAGACATATGGAACAGACAGATTGTGAAAAATAACTTCATATCATTACACGAATAAAATAATTTTGATTCTTTATGTTGGTATTTCCATTTTAAATGCATGCAAATTGTTGGGGGTTGAGTTTTAAATGGTGGACGGAATGCTCATAGGTTCTGTATATGCGCTTTTTGCAGGAGTACCAGAAAGTGACCAGGTGACCTGAGTGCTTTTGCTAGGGACTGCTATTTTTGGAGAACATCAGAATAATCATGGGTTTTTTGGAATCAGGATTGTGAGGGGATAGGAACTCATGAATAGATGGCGAAACTTCAAGGGCACATTTCAAAAGGCCTCCTAGTTGTAGTTTCTTTTCCAATTTTAAACTGTTACCCAGAACAAACTAACTTTAGAAGTGTCTCTTTAAAAAACAACAAAAAAGCAAGCTATATGAATATGTTGCTAATGTGGGAAAACCTTTTTCCATATATAATTGGAGTAAGGCTGGAGATAATTTTCTGCAATCCAGCTTTGTCAGTATTGATCTGAATGTTTGTTCCAGTTTGCAGCCTTTCATCTGGGAAATTTGGCACCTTACTTAGTGGATCGTGGGATACAACTGCTAAAGTCTGGTTGAATGACAAATGCATGATGACACTACAGGTATAGTTGTTCTGCAAGAGTATTGGACAATAAATAATTAAGCATCTTGTGTACATTTGATCTGTGGTAGGTCTAACATTGTGGTGTTGTTCACAGGGTCATACTGCTGCAGTATGGGCAGTGAAGATACTGCCTGAACAGGGATTAATGTTGACTGGCTCAGCTGACAAAACTATTAAACTATGGAAGGCAGGCAGATGTGAGAGAACATTCACCGGTAAGGGTTTAGACCAAAAGGATGGCATTTGCAAATACAATAAGCAGTTATAATGCGTGTATAAGTGAACTGGTTTGAGAAAATGTAATTCTTAGACCAAGGCTTTCATAAGTGTCTAGTCATTTTGGGTAACCTACTTGTGACCCCCTTAAAAGTAACTGATTTTCAGAAAACACTGAGCAGAGCAGCTTTTGAAAGTTGTATCCTTAAGGAATACCAGTCTCTATAGATATGAGGTTGCAAAAAATATAGGTATGTTAGATTGCTGTTAATGAAAACAGTAATTTTATTCATTCAATTTTCTCTCTCTTATAAAGGTCATGAAGATTGTGTGAGAGGTTTAGCTATTCTCAGTGAAACAGAATTTCTTTCCTGCGCTAATGATGCAAGTATTCGAAGGTGGCAGGTCTCTGGCGAGTGTCTACAAGTTTATTATGGGCATACAAATTATATATACAGCATATCTGTGTTCCCTCAAAGTAAAGGTAGGACGCTTGTGGAGTTTACAAGACTCATTCCAAAGTAAAATAGCAAGGTAGCTTTTCAGATTGAGTGGTAGTATTTGCCCTTGCACAATATGAGTTTGTTATTCAAGATTCCATTTTTATAGCTTTCTTTGAGATGGATGGTGTACAGCGTTAGCTTGTTGCTGAAGGAAAAATGATTCTGAACACTGAGTTCAGAGCATCTCAAAAAATAAATGAGGCTGAAGTTCACGGAGAACTGGATGGACTGTAAAACTATATGCTTGCTCCATGTGCCCCTTTGTGGCAGAGAGGACGATAGAAAAGACCCAAGATCAATGAAGGGGCTTGAGGGAAGGAGGGGGGGGATGTGTTCTGTACCTGTGGGAAGTAGGAACCAGTTTTCAGTTTGGTGCAGAGGGGTTGAGAGGGAGGAGGTGATGTGCAAGGATTGTGAAACCCTGGAGACTCGAGATAAGACAAGGCCCTGATAAAGGCAAAATTATTTTGTGCTTTGTTAGAGCCCTGAGAAGGGAACTTAAGATGTCTGTCTGGTGCATAAGTTTACCTTCCCTGATTCCACCACTGTTTACACACACACACACACACACACACTCTCTCTCTCTCTCTCTCTCTCTCTCTCCTTGGAAGATGTATAATGTCATTTTGATGTTTATCTTTTTTTTCTTGTATATTTCTTTAAGGAACTGGGAGAAGTATTTAATTGTTTAAAGAATCACTTCTGTTTCTTGAATAAGTGCTAGATGCTTGCTTGCATAAAGCTATTTTGTACCCTGATATTAAAAACAAAACAAAAAATTAACGAAATCATCTCTTCTAGATTTTGTAACCACTGGAGAGGACAGAACACTTAGAATTTGGAAGCAAGGGGAATGTGCTCAGACAATCAGACTTCCAGCTCAGTCTGTCTGGTGTTGCTGCGTGTTGGACAATGGTGACATTGTGGTTGGTGCAAGGTACCCAGAATCCATTCTACCTGTATTTTGTAGTTATCTAAATTGGAAAAATACTTGTCTAAGTGTATGCATCATATACTTGTTTTCTCATATCAAAAGAACAGGTAAAATGTCTCACTTCAGTGTTTTTTATATAATATTCCAAACTGTCCAACTGGCAGTGTGGGCTGCATGCAGTCCCAGCAGCTTCTATCTGGATGCCATCCCACATGAGTTGCTTCTGGTTCAGCTGCCAGGTTCTTTGGGTTTCCCCCTCTGTGTTGTACTTCCTGCTCCCACTCCTGGGGACATGGCAGTATGGAGAGAGGGGGCTGGAATGTGTACAGCACAGGTGCTGCAGGGGAAGAGGCTGGGCTACTCGCATTGTACTTGTGCAACAGAAGAGGGAACAAGGCTGTGGGCCTGTGCGAAGCTTTGGGTGCTGATTTGATTTGGCGGCCGAATCTCTGAATCCATATTGAATAGGGAGACCAGTAAAAAGGTCCAAATCTATTTGAAGCTTTTCGAATCGATTCGGAAAAGATTTGGGGAGGTTCGGGCAGTCCCTGCTCGGCCCTGCAGGGAGCTGGACCAGGACTCTGTGCTGGTAAGTGTGTGTGTGTGTGTGGGGTGCGGGACACCATGGGGGGGACCCCTGACAGGCCTCATCCCCTGCCTGTTCCCCCAGCCCCATCAATGGCTGCCCTGCCTGGCACCAGCATCCAGGCTCTTTTAAAAACAAACAAAAAAAAAAAACAAAAACAAAAAAAATTTAAAAAGTGCCCTGTACTCACCGGCTCTTGCCAGGCGGGGGGAAGGGAGAGGGGCAATCCCTGCTGCCCCCCACTGCCCTGAGCTGTGTGGGGGGGCTCTGCTATGAGCCCCTATCCCCCGCCCACTCTCCCTGCCCCATTGATTGCTGCCCTGCCCGCCCCAGTGTCCCTGCTCTTTTTTTAAAGTCCCACACTCACCGGCTCCTGCAGTGGCCGTCAGGGCTTCTCGGGGCTTGTGGCAGAGACCCCCATGCACTGCGGGGCAGTGGGGATTGCCCCCTGGCTTGGCAGGAGCTGTTGAGTGCAGGGCTTTTCTTCTTTTTTTAAATTTTAAGTGCTGGGACCCTGGGGCTGGGAGAGTGGGCGGGGGATGGGGCCTGTTTGATTCAGAGATTCTGCTAATTCAGTGGCAGCTGAATCTCCGAATCGGATTTGGCTGAATCGACTTGGGACAGTGATTTGAATCGCTGTCCCCCAAATCAGCCGAATCCGAAGCAAATGCTAGCTGCTTCTCACAGGCCTACAAGGCTGCCTGCTCTCCATGTGGGTAGCCCATGCAACTGCAAGGAGAGTAAAGATGCCTGTATGGTGGGGAAGGGCTGCCCTTGGGGTATGCACAGCTGGGAGGCTGGGAGCTGAATTGCCTGTGTGGCATGGGTAGGGAAGGGAGGCGGTCTATGCATCCCAGTGCATGGCCTGCAGATTACATGATTTACAACCTCTGGGTCTGCAGTTTGGGCTTTGTGCAGCCCCTGGTTGCCTATAGGTTGGACAGCCATATAATATTAATTACCATCTATATGCTTCAGCAGATGACTTTCTTATTGTTCATGAGCTACAGGAGACTCAATGCCTTGGCAATGCAGACATTTAATTATAATCCCATAAATATGCTAGCAATTGCTCTTTGTGGAAACTGAGACACAAAAATTTTCTGTCTTGCCTTCAACCTCAAAATAGCACCTTTTGTTTAATTTGTCTACTTATTTCTTCTAATGATAAACTGCTACGAGCATGAGAATTTAATTTTTTAGGTAGCAGATACAGTTTTTTCCTTTCTTAGAAAATGCTAGCCACAGGTTCCAAATACTGTATTCCATGAACATAATCGCTTTGACATTTAAGTGATGGAAATGTTATTTCTAAATATGTGGTTCTGTCTTTCTCTGTCTCTCTCTCAAGTGATGGAATCATTCGAGTATTTACAGAGTCTTTGGAACGCATAGCAAGTGCTGATGAAATTCAAGCTTTTGAAAATGAGCTTTCCCAAGCTACAATTGACCCTAAGACTGGTGACTTAGGAGACATTAATGCCGATGATCTTCCTGGAAGAGAACATCTGAAAGATCCAGGTAAATGCCTCTGTTCCTTTATAGACATATAGAGAGAGAGGGAGAGAGCATCTGGGTTTGTATCATGAAGATTTTCATCTTTCCTATGGATGGGAGAAGGTCTTGATCACTTGATATCATGGAAAATACAACTCTAGTTTTTCACTGATGTATGGTGAAGACTCAGCTCTGTTTGTAATAAATGTTGTATGTTATGAGCATTTATTTAGATGGTAAAGAATGTTTATGTTTCTCTTAAGTAGTAGAGGAATATTAAATGGTTGCATTTAAAATTGCCGGTTAATAGCTGCCTTATGAAACAGTGCAGTAGTTTTTGTAATGTAGTATAACTTAGTAAGGGGCTACTTTTGTTTGGTGTTTTTCCCTAAAAAGAAAAATAAAGTAGCTTAATACTTTCAGATCATGAGTGTGGAAGCAAAAAAACTAACATTTTTATGGCACCAATTTAATCTTACGTTTACTCTAATTCAAGTTAAAGTGAAGGTCTATAAGAAAACAGTGAAAGTCAGGGGAACCCTTAAGCAGAAAGTTGACTTTCTTGAAGGGAAGTAAAGTGCCTCTGGCCTTAACCCATGACTCCTATCTCTAAATGGTAGAAGTTTGCTAACCTCTGCTCCTTACAAAAGGAGGGTGAGAGTAACAAGAGTTACTTTCTCCCTTACTTGTTATCTGCTTGGGGAAATAGTGAGTTATCAGGAACCGTCTCTCTAGTCCCTGTATTATCCTTCGCAGATATTAATATATGGCTACCCTAAAATTATTTTCACGCTCCTTCTATTTTATTCCAATGTGTAGTACTTTGCTGTTCTCCTGTTCTTATATGGCTTTTGTATTTTAGCTTTAAAAATTTCTGAGATGAATTTCTGGAGAAGAAAAGTTAGAATATGGCTGAAGTGCTTTAGATTATTTGCTTGACGGGAAAAAGAAAGTGGAGGCTACTAGACTACTTTATTTCTCTACTCCATATAATTGTGTTCTTTTATATTTCAAGGAACAAGAGATGGACAGACACGACTAATTAAAGATGGTGGGAAAGTTGAAGCCTATCAATGGAGTGTTAGTGAAGGAAGATGGGTCAAGATTGGTGATGTTGTTGGCTCTTCTGGAGCTACACAGCAAACATCCGGAAGAGTATTATATGAAGGAAAAGTATGTTATGTTTTCTCAGTTAATCTTTTGTCTTAAAAATGGATAATCTCTCATACAAAAACATTGTTCGAGTCACCTTCTGGAGTAGATTTTTAAATAAGTAAGGAGCTTTTCAGTGCTTCATTATAGATCCAGGGTCTATAAAACACCTCCGAATTAGAAGTGGAAATATTAGGTACTCGAATTGTCTGTAATGTCATATTTATTTGAATCCAAGATGAGGTGTTTGTTTTTTTTCCACACTTAACATGGGGCAGGTGTGGGGAGGGAGAAGCCATTCATCTTGCATTTGAGTACGAGGTGGGTGGGGCAGATGTCTGCTGTGTCTATGATTCCAGCCATGACGTGGCACTGGAGAGGGAGAAAGGAACAAGCAGTGGGAGGAGGAGGGGGACGGGACAGGCAACAGGGGGTAAATTGTTGACTGGCAAGAGGCAGGGGTCAGGCCTGTTGACTTCCCCCATTGCCTGCCACCATGCTGACTGCAACAGTTTTCCCTACTGCAACTGCTGGGGGAACAAATTTAAGATGACCCTCTAATAATTAGATTTGATACATGGAAAAATAAAACTTTTATAAATTGTATGTGTCTAGAATCTAATTACTAGAAGGGTCAACTTCAATTCAGAGTAGCCTTCAATTCAGGTAAATAAAGTACGTACTTGGTTATTTCTGAAATGTGTTTAGTGGAACCGTTTATCTGACGTAGAAAACCTCAAACGAGGGAAAGA